ATGCAAAAACATGGTATCTCTTTGTCAAAATCATCTAGCGATGTTTCCCAACTCGCCAGGTTTCTAACTGATGGAAGTAGATGTTCCCAGGTGTTCCCCAAAAAATCCCGGGGAAGATCATGGTTTACCCTCGATGTTTTCCTTTTTTTTTAACGGCGGCCGCGAAAAAGCCTGGGCGAGGATTGTCCCTGGTGTCAGAGAATCAAGTTCACCTCCAAGGTGCTTTGCCTTCATTTTTCATACCCAGATATCCAAATGGTGCTGGAATATTTACCGGCATCAAACCCCCAAACATGGCCCAGTTTTGTAGGTCAATATTCCATGGGCGTCATGGTCCAGTTTGTCCATGGGAGATGGTTGGCTGCCAACCGCAATGGGGACACCAGGAATCAGCTTCATCAAACACTGGGGAGTCGATATAACTGATATGTTTGGTTGACGACTATGACATTTTTACGATGGTAGAATGGAGATATAATGGGATAGCTATATGAATCACCATGATATAATATGCTATACATATTTTTGCTGGTTGGTTACAGTATACTTCCATCCATTGCATACTTGATGCGGATTATCACAGTCCATGACTTGGAATCCCTGTGAAAACCAATTTCTTTTTTGTTTTTCACACGGCTCACGTTCGAGATTGGTCAAAATGACATTATCAAAAGATAAAAAGAAGTGGTCATGTTTAGTAACTTCCGGTAAATCACCACGGCGAAATCCGTCATTTTTCCACTAAATGATGTGCTCCATCGATGGGAAAACGAGTTGGTTCCGGTAGCATCATCCGTTTGATAGCTATCGCTGTCGTGAGTAACTCGTCGCTACTTCAACAGCAGGTGCCGTATGTTGTCCTCATTTTCGACGGAGCAATCCCCAAGTCACCATAGGTTTCAATATGTTTCAACACTAAGATATACTAAACTGGATAAACATCTAGGATTATATGAGAGTAGCCCTATTTTAGGAAACCTTCATAGTAGACAGTTTCACCTTCTGAGACTGTGGTTTTTGTTGGATTCATTGTTGGGGAAAAACTCATTGGATACTTTAGAACTGTATCTTTTTACTATGGGGGAATGCTTTTTTCAACCAGTGAAATCCAGACAGTTCATAAGATGACATGATCTTGGATTGCTGGTTTCAAATATCTTCTATTTTCAAGCGAAGTGGGAAGATAATCCCAACTGACTTTGGCATATTTGTCTGGCTCAACCTCCTTCCTGAGTCCTGCCTTATCTGAGACAACACGAAGCAGACCAGTTGCATCATCCTTCATCAGTTGATTTAGATCTATGTTTGATGATTAAATCCTAAGTTGTCTAGTGAAACCAAGTGACTGACCACCATTTCCCCTACTCAGCCACCGTTCCATTCCTTATTTCTTTGGTGTTTTTTTTTCTTTTTGCCAGGCAGCGAGAGATATATCATCGCTTTCACGGCCGGCGAATTGAGCCGCGCAGATGGTGTCGGGATCATTTTCTCTCTCAGATTGCCTCGGAGCTCCGACATTCAGAAGATCATCTCTGTGTCCTTTCGGCCATCGCTTGACGTTTCGATGACACGTGGGGATGGATTTCTGGTCGTGAACAATGTCGCCTGGATAGCTAAAGTTCAAGATATTAATTGGATATATATAAATCATTATAAATCAATATATTAGTCATGGGTATATGATGGGATGTATCATTAAAATATATATATATAGAGAGAGTATAAGATGGAACATATGATAATTGATATAACTAACCAACTTGACATTTTCCAAAAGGGTCGCCTGGATCCCTTGGCCGAACGGAAAGGCATGTGTGTGTGTGTCTCTGTGGTTAAATAGACTTTATAATGGGATTTTGATGGGACAATCCTTTGCAAATGGGGATGCCATATGGATATAATGGCATATGACTAACCAAGAATATGATAGTTGGGTGTGTCCAAAATGGAAGATACCCCAATTTAGGGCAATTTAATAGATGGTTAACAAAAAGGGGAAATGATGATAAACTATCAACATTTGTTACAAGTTTTCAGACAAACGGATTTGTGCCCCCCAGTGGAATGTGTGTTGCGTTTCGTTCATCTACCTAAGAATCTAAGATATATTTACCACAAACGGTATTGTAAACCTATTTATCAACCAACTTGGTTCTCTGGAGGGCCCCACTTTGGATGGATTTTTCTCAAAATGGTGGATTCGGCGAGTTTACCCCAAATGAAGACCATTTGAAAATGGGGAATGATGTTTTCAAACGGGCTTTGCCGCTGCCGACATTTTTGGAAAGCGCCAGGCTTGGGAAATGCATGGCATACCTCAGGGATCGCCAGGAAGCAACAGCCGGTAATTACACTGCCAACAAATACAGGAAATTGATTTCAAAGCCGGAAATACTGGTACCTAGATCTTCCAAGAACGGTACCCTTTCAACTGGTGTGCTTTACCCCGAAGTAGCTATATGTATTATCATTTTTATAAGTCAATGTTTGTAGTGGTGATAGCAGCTATAGATGGACATCCCGCTGTTAGGTTTCCTGTTTTGACCCACATTCACCTGCCCCAAGGACCCTGTCATGTGGAGGGTGCCCATCGAAATATTGATTGTTGGTTTGAACCATGTTTTGTACGTTCGGCGCAATTTGGAATGATGATATGCAATATATTCATTATGTCCAATTGATACTTTTGATGCCTGGCCAATCTTCTGAAAAATACCAAAGTGACGGGAAATCCATATATTACATAGAGGGTGGGAAGATTGCCATCGCCACTAGCCTGGCCCACGCCACTACGCCGCTTGAGGTTCTTAAACCGCACGGGACGCATTTGCAGTCGGATCAATCAACGTGTTACACGGATAGCTTCTTCGTTACCTCAAATTGAAGTTGGAGACATTCTTGAGGCGCCCTCATGGCCATGTAACCGCACCCATGTACGTATCATGTATATACCTGCACATATACATAGTATATGTTATATTACTTTATGTTATATGGTATATATTGCACATATTAGTTTACAAAATATAGTATATACATATATGATATAGGGATATGCATATATGTATATGCATATTGCACATTATATCATAACTTATATAACAATGTATAATATACATATATATATATTATACATGGGTGCGGCTGCAAATGGGATGATGTTTGCAAACTTCAAAGCAGATCGGTTCCTGGATCTGACTTCACTCCGTATCAAGAGTGATGGCTACAGGATTGGGGATGATTTGGCTGACTTTCCTAAGATCATCAGAGATCTTAGATGATTTAAGGTTTGAGGTTAGTGATTTTTTGACCAAATGTTACGGCTAATAAGGCTCAGAGATTTCACTTGTCCGAGCTTCGCGGGACTGCTGAAATAGATTGAAATCGAACATTATTATGGACCCCTTCAAGATGATCTCCGGGACACAAATCGCTCCGCGCAGTCGTCGCGCCACCATTCGCCTTCATAGATTAAATGGCAGGATCTTCGGTGGGATTTTCCAATCGGATTCCTTTTTTCATCCGCAGGTGGTGAATAATCTCGATATGAACTCCTTGAAGTTCACCGTCTGGACGAAAGCTGGTCATGAATTCACGGCCTCCATAAGCTACTCTGAGGCGGCCGCTTTTTTGATCGGAAGGGACGAATTCCGGCCGACCCCAGTCGGTGGTAATACACTCTGGTAAGCTAACATAACTACGGAAAATCACCGTTCTGAATGGGTAAATCCACTATAAATCACCATTTTCAATAGCTATGTTTGTTTACCATTACCAGAGGGTAATGTATTAATGTATACCATATAAGATAGTTGTATAAATACGTGTATGATAGCGAAAACAGATTACTTTACTTTGGGTGATCCCCACCATGGACTTTTGGACAACTGTTCACTTTTTTCCATGTGACTGGCCGTGGTCGTTTGCAGCTGCGCTTCTCCATTCAACCTGTCATGTGGCTGATAGGTAAAGCATGTGGGATGTTTGAACATGTCTAGAAACAAAGATGTCAGCAGACCATTTTACATTCTATCTGATTTAAATTCTGACATTCTATTTGGAATTCTTTATGGCACTCTCTGACATCCATTCTGACATTCTTTCTTGCATTTTTTCTGTCCTTCTTTCTGGCATTCTACCTGACATATGTTCCGACTCTCTATTTGGCAATCTTTCTGGCATAAATCTGACATTCTATGTTCGGGCCCAGGCGTGGCCCACTGCATCCGGAGCTCACGCTATTGATATGGCTCGGATCCGGAGGAGGAGACGAGGAGGGAAGAAGGAAGAAGAAGCGAGAAGAAGGAAGGAGAAGAAGGAAGAAAAAGGAACGAAGAAGAAGGAAGGAAGGAGCTGCACCTTTGTTAAAATCTAGAGACCTTTACCTGGCAGGTGGGGATATACATGTAAAGGCTGGTGCCTGGAAGTATATTTTTGATTTCAAGACATGATGTGGTTCTGACCAAAAATGGGGTATAACCCCCAAATAGCCAGTTCAATAGGGAAAATGGTAGTAACCAATTTAAAGTTTTTGGGCTCCATATGTTCTATAGCCGTAGTCGTACTATATTGATAGTGTAGCACATTCCAGTAGTCCGACTCAGTAGTGTTTGCGTCGTCAGTGTCATCCTCCTTTCCATGGTTGCTCATTGCTACCCATCTTGAACCTTGACACATGGAACCTGAACATGGGGGCCTTTGCACGATGGTTCTTTGTATTCACCAGATGTTGAAATTGGCGAACTTCTGATTACCTACTCTGGCAATAAAGGAAACATCTATTTCCCTACCAGAGATGAAATGGATTGTATATGATTGTATGGATTTGTCTGAAAATGGGGTAACCAAAATTTCATAGTTGAGAAAACAAATTTCATAATAGTTATAATTACATAATGGGATAACTGTACGTATATAAATTCACTATAATATATGATTATAATATAACTATAACAAACGCATCCATAGATTGAACCATTCCTTGCTTTTGGACAAGGCCCATAGGTTGGACATTGTTGGTTGACGCTTCCCATTGGATGTCGGAGCAAAACCCAAAACCACCATTGTTTGCATATATATATATATAGATCCCCCATTTGGCATAAGATATCAATTATATATAATTATTATTACAATTTTATATTTGCATACACACACGTAGATCCTCAAGAACACCCCCATAATTATTGTTTACTCCACTATTTTAGTTTGAGAAGCATTTATGGGTACTTTGAGGTTCAAAGAATTGATTATTATGCATATGTATATATATATATATATGATATATGTATACATTGACCTCACGTGGCGACATCACTGGAATGATGTGTGTTTGATTCACCCTCAAATTATGATAGTCCCCAAATGGTTTGAGGTGACCGAATTATTTGTTTACACATGTATATATATATATTTATCTAATATGTATATTTCTAGACGCTGCATGTACCCTTTAGAGTTGTGCCTTAACCGAAAAATAGCACTTTCACCAGTCTTGAGGATAGTCTAGATACATATATATATATTATATTATATATATATGTATGATATATATATATATATACATATATATCATACATATATATATATGTATGTATACATATCATATACATATATATATATATACATATACATATATATATATATCTATACATATATACATATATATATATATATATATATGTATGAGCAGGGATCACCACACCCCCCCTCCCCCAGCCAGATGGTTCCCTGCCCCCCTGTGGCCTGGGGGGGGGGCGCCAACAACAACAGTCCTACATGGGCAGTGTTTGCGCAGCTGTAAGTAGTGGTTGATGCCCAGTATATAGAGAGTATATGCGTATATTATAAACGGACCCTAGGGAGCTTAAAGGGAGTAAATACGCATACAGTATAGTTGGGCATTATAGTTAGGTAGTGTATATGTCTACGTATGTATGTAATGTAATGTAATGTAATGTCATGTAGTGTAGTGTAATATAATGTTAATGTAATGTGATGTAATGTTATGTTATGTATGTATGTATGTATTTATGTTAATGTAATGTAATGTCATGTAGTGTAGTGTAATATAATGTTAATGTAATGTAATGTAATGTAATGTAATGTAATGTAATGTTATGTAATGTTATGTATGTATGTATGTATGTTAATGTAATGTAATGTATGTATGTATGCATGCATGTATGTATGTATGTATATATATATATTAGTTTTTTGTGTACATGCTGCATCCAAGCATATAGTATTGTATAGGTGTGCATAGGTACGCTTTGAGTATATATGTTATAGGTAGCAACTATGTAGCAGCGTAGCATAAAGGCATACAATGAGTTGTAAGCCATGTGTGAGGTACGCTATAGGCAGCACATAAACATGTTTTGGGTAGTATGTGCTAGATTGATATGTTAGACATCTACAGCTAGACAGGGTCCAGTGACGAGGTTGTGGCTCTCAAATGCTACAGATAGCGTGCAAACGGAAGGATGTCTCCCAAATGCTGTAAATAGCGTACAAATGGGAGGCGGTGCCTTCCAAATGCTGCAAATAGCGTGCAAATGGAAGGTTTGGGAGGTGGAGTGTGGGGGGGGCCATACCATTGGGGGGGTGTGGCGCTCCAGGGACCGGGCTCGTATATAAATGTATTATATATATATATAGTATATATATATATACATATGTATGTATACATACATCGTTATAGAAATAGATCCAATATATACGTAATATATGCCATGTCACTTCGTCAGGTGGCCATTGCCATGGGCTTTGAAGGAAGACCCGTGCCTGGTCACCTTGCGGTGGTGGTGCCTTGGATGCCGCCTTTTTGGCCGCCAGGTGGTCGCAAGGTGTGGACCCATGGTGAACAAAAGCAAAAGCGGACATTTATGAAGAGGAAATCATGGGAAAATGATAGGACAGTGAGAAAGTGATGGGAACATGATGGGTAAAGTGATGGGAAAAGTGATGGGCGGGAAACGATGGGCAAATGATGGGAACATGATGAGAACATGAGGGAAAATCCTGGGAACATGATGGAACAATAATGGGAAAAATGATGGGAACATGATGGGAAAGTGATGGGACAATGATGGGAAACTGCGAGAACCATGGGACATGTACGAAAAACAACTATGGAACAATTATTGGAAATGGACATCCATGGGAACATTGAGCATTATATATATAGTCATTTGGAGGGCTTAGGTCATATCCAGAAAACAAAAAAAAATTGCGGTCCACGAAAGCTCCACCAAAGGGAGAACCATCTACATTTTGCAACTGTTAATTGTCTCAATTCTATTCAGGAATCTCAAGGGATAGGTGATGATGGTCCTCTAGGCATGTGATCTATCCTGATCCGGGCATGGGAAGGTCAATCCAGTGCAATCCAGTGCCCAAACTGGGGGATCCGAGTTGGGATGAACGATGATTCGGAGGTGCGAATCTCCCCGAGTTGAGGTGAAAAATCCTGGTGTCTCGGTGTCGCTGTTCAGTTGAGCGCCGCCATTGAGCGCTGCAGTGCGGTCCCTTGTCATCGCAGCTGCGCAGCAGGGCTCTCTGCTCCACAAAAAAATCGAGCGTCGTTGCACGGTCAGTCCCGAAAGAAGGGGCTGAAGAGCAGGTTTGTATCAAGACGTAGTACGGACTTTTGCCTGGAAAAATATGGAAGAATGGTAAACTGGCAAATTCAGCGAAGCACCGAACTTCTTGTTTGGTATGTTTTATATAGTTTAGTTAATATGCTTGTTTGTGTTTGTTCTGTCAGCTTGTGTTGGTGCATATGTTTTCTTCAGGCAATGTTTGTACTTCGTCGTGTTGGAATCTATAGGTTTGTCGCGACAAGCGGCTTTGCAACGCACGACGATTGAAAAAGAAAACGACATGTACAAAGACTACTACATCCTCTAGCTTTCACGTGTAGCATAGTTGTTTGCACGTTGCGTTTTTTGACAGACCCAATTCGTATCAATTCGTGTTGTTTTAAGTATTCCGGGGTGGTCAATTCCAGCCAATACAACACCTCAAATGTTGAAGATTGATTGAAAAGAAAAGCAAACAAGCACATGGTCAAACTAGACACTCAAATTTAAGGGCTACCTGGCCAATGACGTCATCCACATGGATACGTACGGAGCAAAATACGATTTGTAGCTCCTGGAGCGTTCCTTACTGTGGGCCATGGCAGGTCTTTTTGGTCAGAGCAATGCCCTGCGGTTTGGGCCATTAATCCTCCTCAGACTTGCATACTATCCCATATCCATCCATTTTTTTGCGTGATGTCATGTGTATAGTTTTCATGTCATGTCTGGTTATGTCATGTCATACATTCTCTCTCTCTCTCTCTATCTCTGTGTCCAAAGTACATAACTGCGTCATCGGAAACCCGTGGACGGGTGGTTTGGGAAACGGCAGGAAGACCATCCAGCTCTCCAATAAATTCCGGGCTTGACAAACATGGAAACAACATCAGGCATAATGGGCGTGTCTAGGCGTGTCTATCGCCAGCCTAGATTGATGGAACCCTTACCATTAAGAAAAGGAAACAGAAGACCATTGGAGCTATGAGCTTACTTGGCTTACCGCTTACCTTGATTCTGTCGACCAAAACCAGCTAGTCTCACTCGCTGTTTGATTCATAGATGGGCGGCAACCCTCAATGAACCATTTGTTCTAGAATGGTCACCAACGGTAAGCCCTCCCCATAATCAACGATTTGTTTTCCTACTAGTACAATGTGGGGCCCCCAATGGCCCCCAAGATAATCAAGATAGCGTTCAGTTGGTTTGCAACTCCAATATCAAGAAAATGTAGTTTGTGTTACTTATAACTTATATAACGATAGCTAAAAGTTTTTTTGCCAACAACCTTATATCTGGGAAGGCCACGTTGTAGGGATTTTCTTGGAATCCGGGGAGCCCAAAAAAAGCTGGACCGGTGGACATTGCTCGTCTGCATGCGGTACGTCACGTGTCGGTATGGGCTCCTCCCCTACTACGCAATGTCAATGTGGGGTCTAAGGATCCCACTCCACGTTTGCTGGATCTAGCTATGTAAGCGATTGCAAGTTAATAACATTGATTTTCAGTCAAAATGGTGATATCTTCGTGATATTTCAGTGCATATACTGTAGTCAGAACCAACTTGGAAATTTAAGATATATGTGGGTGTGTTTGAAAATGGTGGAAGCTCCCAACATGGCAATTTCAAGGGAGATTATTAATTATTTAATAATATATATATATACTGATGATAAACCATTAAGTTTGGGGTATATTTTTCAACAAATGCAGACATTCCAAAGGCAGCCACTCTCACCACCAATCAGCTCCGGTGCAAAAACCCAGCATCCGTGTCGACCGGCATTTATCGACGGAGTGGTGGTTTCAAAGGGTCAATCCTGGGATTGTAGTCCCAGGGTTGACGTTCAACAAATCTGGGGATATATAGACCCTCTGGTAATTTCATTGCTATATAGTAAATCACCATTTTTTATAGGTAAATCATGGAACTACATGGACCATCAAGCCATCCCCTGTAGCCGCTATAGCTACTATCAGAAGTTGGCTCGACACCCAACCGGCGGCGCTTTCTGAAAGCAGACCAACTAGGGTGAGCAGTCGTCCAGACCCAGACAGAATTCAATGAGTTCAATCCTAGCTTGAGTAGACTAAGAATGGGTAGAAGATCATACAATGTGCGGTCCATCAGTTGTGGTGGTCTATGTTCAATCTATGGATATCATCCATAATCATCCATTATACTCATGTTCTAAAGCCGGTGAGATAGCCAACGGAAACCGCAATTGGGGCCCCACATTGTACCAGAGCTTGTGGGCCCTGCTCTGCTCCCCTGCTCCCCGCTCCTCGTTTCACCGTTACGGGCCCTATATCGCGCCCTACGCAGCGCCACCGACGGCAGATCGCACGCCTGGCAGGTGATCTGAAAAGCAGCTGGAAGTGCGGTTCTGGATGGTTCTGGGATGAGTCGTGGATGATTCAAAGGCAAGGTTTTGGAGAAGTACGACGGCAAATCAAAAGAAAGTGTATTTGGAACAAAGGGAGATTCCACCAGCAAGAATTTGGATCAAAGTTGTTGTCCCTAAAAACCCTTGCCAATGGTTGAGACACATGAAAGTTCAGTTGAATAAAGGGAACCATCCCCAGCCTGGGTTCAGTTTTAGGTTGGGTATATCATTATTTTTTATTGCCGAGATGAGGTTTACCCTGAGGTAATTGATCAAACATTGTAATGGAAAATTCCTCATTTATAGTATACACCGGGTCATTTTACCGTGGAAGTCAGGATGGAAAAACCTGTCGGTTTACATGGAAGTCGTTTACGTCCAATTCCTGGGGAAAAAGTGAAACTGGGCTACCGGGCCAGCAAATGCAGAAAAACTGACCGTGAATCTCTTACATGGAAGTAGCTCATCAGATATGTCAGTAACATATTCATCATGGAAGTGTGAAAACTGAGACTAAAAACCCTTACGTGGAAGTAACTTGAGGGTCCAGACATCAGGTTGGCAACTTCTATGTTAACATGTTCTCCCCTCATGTTGAATACATCCTTCTAGGGCGATCCCTAAAACCCCCAGACTGACCGCCATATCATTTTTTTCTTCTTTGCATCTATCTTCTCACCCCTGTCATGTCCGAGCGATTGAGGATGCAACCTTTCAAAATCAATGGTGCCAAATTGGTGCTCGCTAACATGGCACTGCCCACGTCCTACTTCAAGTAGCAAATTTCTATGTAAGTTATCCGTTCCAATCGTTGGTTGTTTAAAAATGGAGGCACTCCCAGCTTTATCTTGAAAAAATCAAAATTTATCAAAATTTCTACGTTAATCAACAAATGCCCAGGATTCCCGGGGAACTCGTGGCAAAAAGAACTAGCCAAAAAAAAAAGGGCTCAGATCCAAAGAACACAAATTTGCAGTTTACCCCCCCCCATTGCAACTAACATGGAAGTAAACCTCCGAATTGTCACTTTAGTTAACGTGGAAGATTTTTTTTCACTACGGTAAAAGGAGGACCGAGCGCTCGCTAACATGGCACTGCCCACATCCTACTTCAAGTAGCAAATTTCTATGTAAGTTATCCGTTCCAATCGTTGGTTGTTAAAAAATGGAGGCATTCCCAGCTTTATCTGAAAAAATCAAAATTTATCAAATTTTCTACGTTAATCAACAAATGCCCAGGATTCCCGGGGAACTCGTGGCAAAAAGAACTAGCCAAAAAAAAAGGGCTCGGATCCAAAGAACACAAATTTGCAGTTTACCCCCCCCATTGCAACTAACATAACCTCCGAATTGTCACTTTAGTTAACGTGGAAGATATTTTTTTTGCACTACGGTAAAAGGAGGACCGAGCGCTCGCGAACATGGCACTGCCCACATCCTACTTCAAGTAGCAAATTTCTATGTAAGTTATCCGTTCCAATCGTTGGTTGTTAAAAAATGGAGGCATTCCCAGCTTTATCTTGAAAAATTCAAAATTTATCAAAATTTCTACGTTAATCAACAAATGCCCAGGATTCCCAGGGAACTCGTGGCAAAAAGAACTAGCCAAAAAAAAAGGGCTCAGATCCAAAGAACACAAATTTGCAGTTTACCCCCCCATTGCAACTAACATGGAAGTAAACCTCCGAATTGTCACTTTAGTTAACGTGGAAGATATTTTTTTTGCGCTACGGTAAAAGGAGGACCGAGCGCTCGCTAACATGGCACTGCCCACGTCCTACTTCAAGTAGCAAATTTCTATGTAAGTTATCCGTTCCAATCGTTGGTTGTTTAAAAATGGAGGCACTCCCAGCTTTATCTTGAAAAAATCAAAATTTATCAAAATTTCTACGTTAATCAACAAATGCCCAGGATTCCCGGGGAACTCGTGGCAAAAAGAACTAGCCAAAAAAAAAAGGGCTCAGATCCAAAGAACACAAATTTGCAGTTTACCCCCCCCCATTGCAACTAACATGGAAGTAAACCTCCGAATTGTCACTTTAGTTAACGTGGAAGATTTTTTTTCACTACGGTAAAAGGAGGACCGAGCGCTCGCTAACATGGCACTGCCCACATCCTACTTCAAGTAGCAAATTTCTATGTAAGTTATCCGTTCCAATCGTTGGTTGTTAAAAAATGGAGGCATTCCCAGCTTTATCTGAAAAAATCAAAATTTATCAAATTTTCTACGTTAATCAACAAATGCCCAGGATTCCCGGGGAACTCGTGGCAAAAAGAACTAGCCAAAAAAAAAAAGGGCTCAGATCCAAAGAACACAAATTTGCAGTTTACCCCCGCCCTTGGCAACTAACATGGAAGTAAACCTCCGAATTGTCACTTTAGTTAACGTGGAAGAATTTTTTTTGCACTACGGTAAAAGGAGGACCGAGCGCTCGCTAACATGGCACTGCCCACATCCGACTTCAAGTAGCAAATTTCTATGTAAGTTATCCGTGCCAATCGTTGGTTGTTAAAAAATGGAGGCATTCCCAGCT